AGCTATATCTTTTGGTGCTCATAACTTTTATACTTTTTGAGATATTAAGCTTTTTATGCCATTTTTGGCCCATCTTGCTGAAGGGGACCACATCATCAGTGTGATCACCAGTTTGGCTTCCTGGGCTGAGCTGAGCAGCTGAGCTGTTGTAGCTCAGTGAGCTGAGCAGCCGAGCAGGAGGGTTCGAATCCCGCTGATGGCAACATTTCCTTCAGTAAACAGTTCAACTGTTTTAACTCTTTTCAACACAATTTTCAGCATTTTCACCTCTTTTCAGCACAATTTAGTTTCTGCACATTTTTTCTCTCATCATGTCTTCGTTTGAGCTCAGAGCTGGTTTGGCTCAGTGGGATGAGCCGCCGTGAGATCCGGTGGCAAAAGGTTTGAATCCTACACGTGACAATTGCTGGACATCTTCCCTGCTTGCATGTGTTGCCAGGGCAACCGAATTTAATACATGTAGTCTGCTTCCTTAACACTGCTTAGTGTCCCCTTTCAAACACAACAGTTTCCAGCTGAGAGTGGAGCTTCTGCACAGCAGGTCGTTCTTCTTCTTCTGTGGTTTCAGATTCCACTGCAGGCATTCACACTGCATTATCGCAGGAAATGCAACTTTTTCTAGTTTTATTTCATTTTTAGGGCTTTTTTATTGACTTTCCTACTGAGTCCACCTCCCTTCAGTCATCTCTACCTCTCTGTGTTTCGTCTTCTATTCTATCAGCACATCTACATTACTGTTGGAGGTGTTCTCACCTTTTCTTACTGTAACACGGCATTTTCTAAACTCTTGTTAGAATAACATCAGCATGTTTCTCATGTGTTTGGTGTCACCACCCTTTAACAGGCTGTGCTTCTTGTTCAACCTTCAGATGGTTGGAAGAGTCAGACTGTGACATTAGCAGAGCCTCAACCACAGTGTGAAGCTGTGCTGGGTAAACTGGTCAGAGCCATTATAGGCCTGGGATTGTTGGCCAAACTTCAATGATCAAATATACATTCAGCAGCCGGCCAGATGGGCATTGTTCCTACAGTTACCTGTATCCTAAGGACAAAAGCAAACACGTTAAAGTTTGAGCTACCGTCGTGTTTGGACTCTGCAGCTCTTACACAGACAGAGCAGCTGAGTGTGTTTGGACATGCAAACCCACAGTGTGTGCTCTTAGAGGGTCTTGTGTGTGATTATAGTGAGAAAGTGAGTCAGCCTACTGATACCAGCACATCGATTTAAAGAACACGTCTGTGTCCTGAGTGTGCAGAACCCAGCAGGACAGCTGACCCCGACACGCTGTGGTGGATCCAGAGTGTGCAGCACGGCGTGGACGAGGGGAACTCTGTGCCGGGGCAATAATGAGGACTGAAGGTGGTCAGCCTGAGGTCAGATCAAAGCCTGAGCTGAGAGGACGACGATGGAGGTTGTTTGAGTCTCTCTGATCTTATCAGCCTTTCCTGTGCTGTGTGAAGCTGCAGAGACAACTCTTAGATCGAACTTCAGCGGCGGTGTCGACAGCTCACATCAGCTCTGAAATGACTGCTACAAGCTTCCTGTGAGAGCTGTGTGTGCTGACAGCAGTGCAGAGACTGTGACATCCACACAGGCTGATCTGAACACTATAATCAGTACAATCAGCTGCACACTCCTGCATCCTCCTCTCCTCTATCTTTGCCTGACAGCAGTGGAGCACCGCAGGCTCATCTTACTCTTCATGATGTTTGATCTGACAAAGGTGGGTCAGGTGGCCTCCTTCATCTATGTGACCTGGGAGGTACACTGGCTGTGGCTACAGGAGGAAACTCTGGTTCTTGTCCTTAAATGTGAAGCGTTCATAAAGACAAAGTTTGCTGCTGTTAAGGCTCATTAATGTTAATCCTCAAACCTGATTATGTGCTTATGTTGACCATGGGACCGTCTGTGATGCCCTCTAGTGGGAGAAAGGAACTACAAGCAGATTAACTCCGACTCTTTTGAATGTATCAGAGGACTTTACATCATTTATTAGCACACAAACACGGGCTAGCTGCATCAGGCTCTC